GGCGGGGCGGGGGGGGGGGGGGGAGGGGGGGGGGGGGGGGGGGGGGTGGGGGGGGGAGGGGGGGGGGGGGGGGGGCGGGCTCTGGGATTGAGAGGGAGAGGGGCTGGGCAGGCTCTGGGATTGAGAGGGAGGGGGGAGGGGCGGGGTGGGCTCTGGGACTGAGGGGGGGAGGGGCGGGGCGGGCTCCAGGACAGCAGGCAGGACTGGACTAGAAAGGGTATTTATAGTGAGGTGACCTTTCTTCCACTTCCATGGGTTTAGGGTTTCTAGGTCCTCTCTTCATGCTGGGGGGGGGGGAAGAGGGGACAAATGTCAGAGTTTATGAGGGAGGGGCCTCAAGAAGAAGTCAGTTCTCATCCATTCAGTCAGCTTTCTACTGTTGGCTGAGCCAAATTCTTGCTTTTAGTGAGGCTACACTGGTCAAAGCTGGAAAAAACGCTTTGGGCATGGGGTGTATGTGTGGAAGAGGGGCTCAAGAAACAAACAAACAAACAAACAAACTGAAGGACCACATGGGGCAGCTACTGCTAAAAGCTTACCAAGTAGTCATAAATACTTCCAAACCCCGCCCCCCAGGATCCATCATAGAGGGCGACTCTGGTTAGGGAGGCAAGGAGTCTAACAAAAGTCCCAGTACCAAAGCTTCAGCTCTGTGTTCTCAGAAACAGGATTCTCAGGAAATGAGGGGACCCCCAAGGAAGAGGTAGAGCTGGAAATGAGGGGACCCCCGAGGAAGAGGTAGAGCTGGAGGGTGGTTTGTGGGAGAGGGAAACTATGCAATCGGGAATATTCCATCAGGGTTCGAAAGAGGAAAGGCAAAACAGCAGGTGGGTTGCTGCTGCTGAAATATTAGGTAAATAATAAATACTTCCAGCTAGGGATAGAGACACTTTGAGAGCTGAATATAGCCCTGAAGGAGTCCTAGGGTTGGGTCCTCAGACAGATCCATCTCCATGTTGGAAACTTGACAGCAAGAGACGTGGGAACACGGGTGGAGACATTCTGTGACGAGGAAAGGAGGTCAATCGCTCAGGCTTTCTCGGCAATTCCGCACGCAGCCATGTTCCTGGACATTAAGGATTCCCCTGCGGTCTGGAGTCTGCTGACCTTTCTGGGGAAAGGGGAGAGAAGGCAGCTAGTGAATCAGTGGTGCAGAGGCGCATCCTGCAGCAGGTGCTGAGAGTACACATTTATCCTGTGGCGCTGGGGTCTCGAACGCTGGGCAAGCCTCTCACAGAGCCACACCGCAGCCCCAGTGACAGGTACAACAAGGAGAGCAGCCCCTTGGGCTGGCATTTCTCCTTCCCACTCCTGACTTTGAAAACTCCCATTTTCTTTGGCCTCCAAACCTATATGGACCTACATTTTAGAAAAACACTCTCAAATAAGAAAACTAAAAGCAATCTTTGAGACCCACAAAAATTATGGCTCAGCAGGTAAAGGTGCTTACTGTCAGTCCTGATGACCTGACCCCAATCCTCTGACCCTTGGGGTGGAAGGAGAGAAACTTCCCTCACAAATTGTCCTCTGACCTCCACACACAATGTAGCACATGTACTTCTTCCACATACAGAAACAAACAAATACAAAAGAAGGTATGTATGTAATTTTAAGAGAATACCACATCAGCTCTGACCCCTTCTCTTTTTATTAACGCCATGCTGTTCTTTAAAATGCCCAGCTACACCTGCTCCATTTACTACCTGATATAACTCTCCATTTAAATCTTCGACGCACCAAGTCCTAGGTTGGAAGACATCTAGTGGGCTCTTTTCCTCTCAGGCTGTGCTGCATCAGCCCAGTGTCACCACTGTGGTCCGCCGCTTTTCTTCAAGAACTAAAAACATTTTGTACTGTCTCCGGAATCAAGGTTTAACTTTCAGGATCTCCATATATTCCAAAGCCTGTCCTTATTGCTGTAACCAAATGCCTGGCAAAATGCAACTAAAGAGGAGTTTTTGGGTTCCCAGTCTGAGGTGATACCCTTCCGGGGGGGAGGGGGAATCATGAGTGAGGAGCTGGTCACAACGCATCCCTTGGGGAGCTGGAAGCACTGAATGCTGGCCTGCTCACTTTCTTTTTCCCTTTCTATTCAGTCTGAGAGCAAGTTCCAGGACGACCAAGACTACACAGTAAAAGCCTGGCCCAAAACAAAAACAAAATTGCTATTCTCTGTGTGACTTGAGAGCTCACCATGATGGAGTGGGGGCGGCACACACCTGCCATCCAGAGTTTGCCAGCCTGAGGCAAGATAATCTGGAGTTTGGGGGCAGCTGGGCTAACTAGACCTCAATAGAGAAAGAAATTTGAGGAGGGAGAGAGAGGGCAGCTGGGTCAACAGTGAAAATACTGGGGATTCTTCCTGGCAGGAAACACACTCAAATCCAGATTATCTCTGCCAGTAAATTTTTGAGCCAAGAATGGTGGTCCACACCTTTAATCCCAGCACTCAGGAGGGTCTCTATGAGTTATATAGTTCCAGGACAGCCAGGGCGACATAAAAAGGCCTTTGTTGTTTCTAAGGGCTGGGTATTTTTATATAGATGTGTGTAAGTCACTGAATAGTGTGCAGGTGGCTTTGGAAGCCAGAAAGAGGGTGTCAGAGTTCTTGGAACTAGAGTTCCAGGAGTTCCAGGTGGTTGTGAGTCCCTGAACATGGATACTGGGAACCAAACTCACATCCCCTAGAAGAGCAGCAGGCTGTCCTAACTGTGCTCCCCTCCACATGGCGTGATCATAGGCAAGGAGAGCTGCTCGACCTAGGCCCTAGAAACAAGGACTCATCATTCCCTTCTTCCCTGCCTTGTCTCCTTGACCCACAGGGAGCGACTGCCTGTCAACTACTTTAAATTTCAGTTCCGGAACGTGGAATACAGTTCTGGGCGGAACAAGACCTTCCTCTGCTATGTGGTTGAAGCCCAGAACAAGGGAGGCCAAGTGCAGGCCTCTCGGGGCTACCTAGAAGATGAGCATGCAGGTGCCCATGCCGAGGAGGCTTTCTTTAACACCATCCTACCGGCCTTTGACCCGGCCCTGAAGTACAATGTCACCTGGTATGTGTCCTCCAGCCCCTGTGCAGCCTGCGCTGACCGAATTCTCAAAACCCTCAGCAAGGCCAAGAACCTGCGCCTGCTCATCTTGGTGGGCCGGCTCTTCATGTGGGAGGAGCCAGAGGTCCAGGCCGCTCTAAAAAAGTTGAAGGAGGCCGGCTGCAAACTGCGCATCATGAAGCCCCAGGACTTCGAGTACGTCTGGCAGAATTTTGTGGAGCAGGAAGAGGGCGAATCCAAGGCCTTTCAGCCCTGGGAGGACATTCAGGAGAACTTCCTATATTATGAGGAGAAGCTGGCAGACATCCTGAAGTAGGCAGCCAAGCTCAGCCTTCTGTGAGTTTTCCTGGTGCCCTGGCGCCAACTCTGTATTTACTTGGGTAGAAGACTTGAGGTCAGGTGGGAGGAAATATAATTTGAAGGGAGTGCACTCCTCTGTATTAATGGATTGTAGAAACACTCTCAAACATTGTTTTCTGTCCTCTGAATCCCTCTACCTACACCCACATTGTGGGGTTGGAGACAGGGCTCTGACATTAAGAGCCATATTGGGTGGCTCACAACTGTCTGTAACTCCCCCCAGGGGACCTCCCACCTTCTGGACTCTGGATGCACTTGCTCATACTCAAATGTACATAAACATTAGGGCTGGGGGGATGGTTTTAGTGGTTATGAGCACTGTCATTCTTGCAGAGGACCCAGGTTTGACTCTTAGCGTCCACGTGGTTGCTTCCAAACACCCATAACTCTAGTTCCTGGGACTCCAAGATCCTTACTGTGGCCTTTCTAGGTCCCTGTTTCCAAATTCACAACCTCTGTTCTGTAATGCAGAGTTCTCATTCTTGGGAACAATTTGTTGCTTTTTTTCTTTTGTCATCCTTTTTTTTTTTTTTTGACATTTTATTGTTTCTTTTAAAAAATTTATGGGTGTGGGTGTTTTGTTTGTATGTACGTTTGTGTACTGTGTGCATTTTTGGTCCCCAAGGAGAGCAGAAGAGGGCATGGGATCCCCTGGAACTGGAGTTTCATGCAGTTGTGAGGCACCATGTGGTGCCGGGAATCAAACCCAAGTCCTCTGGAAGAGCACCGAGAGCTCCTAAGTTTGAACCATCTCTCCAGGCCTGTATTCATCTTTTGATTTTAGCCAGATCTGCTATCCTGCTGTCAGAGGGCTGTTCTTTGAGTTGCTCAGTGGTTACTGAGTGGATGCATAAGGCCAGGGCTTTCTTCTTCTTGAGGACAGTCCAGGGAACTCCTGAAGAGTCAAATGTGATCGGGTGGGAGTAGTGAGCTAGTTTATGCCGGACCGTCTAAAGGGTTAAGAGATGTCTGTAGCTGAAACAGCAGCTCAGAAGTAGCCTCCTACAGATGTCGTCAAGAGATGATAGGAGAAGGGAAATAAAGACGAGCTGTTTAGGCAAATAATTAGGACACAATTAAGGCCAATTCGGCCTCTTGCTGAGGGTAAATTAGATGCTCACAGAAACAGGCCAATTATCCTCAGGACAGAGGGTAAAAGGTCCTTCACTATCTTCTGAATTTGGTCTGATCTAGTTTGCCTTTATAAAACCGCTGTGACTGAGCCCCTTTCCACGGCCAGACTTGCTGATCAAAATCTAGTAATGGTGAAGGTTCTTCACTGCACTCCTACCCGACTTTAATTCTGGAATGACTCCTATATTCATAAAACATGGACGCAGCACGTGTCCATGAAGATCATTCAATTTATGTTTGATGTTTCTCGAAGATGCTGCAATCCCGATGTTCTGGAGCCACGGGTAGGCAGGTGTTTGTTATCAGGCATGCAGGCAGGGTGCACAGACATCCCCAGGCTGAGCATCTTCCTGACCAGCCGACACATTCTCAGTCTGTCCTTTTTAGCAAAAGGACAGTGGGCAGTCATGAGGTAGGTTCACACTGTAAAGTAACCCCTGAAAATACAGAACTTACTCTAACAAAGATCTTTGTTAGTGTAGGCCCAATATTGTAACTGTACAGCCAGCATAAGACTCACCAAAATGGTGACCACCAGCTCAACTTTATTGCGGTCTTCATGGGAGAGAGGGATATGGTGGTGTGTGCCTGTAATCCTCAGCACTCCAGAGGCAGAGGCAGGAGGATCATGAGTTAGAGGCTATCTTGGGTTATACCAATTCTCAGACTAACCTAAGCTAACTAAGGAGAACTTGTCTCAAAACAAGTCAAAAACAAACAAAAACCCCAAGAATTTGGAGTGGGACTGTAGTTCAGTGGTAGAATGCTTACAAAGCCCAAAAATTGGTGCTGGGGTATACTTGGTTGTGAAATCCAAGCATACCTACTGGATTCAATCCCAATGCCACTGACAGTAACAATAATAAAAACTAAGTATTGTTACTATATGCCTGTGTTCCCAGAACCAATAGGCAGACTGAAGAGAATGCTACTTTATCCCCAAAACAGCAGCAGCAACTCCCACAAAATATCACACTTTTTATAAAGTTTAATTTTTACTTATTTGTGTGTGGGAGGGGCACATCTCATAACAAACACGTGTATGTCAAAGGACAACTTGCCAGAGATGTCTTCTGTTTCCACCACGTGGGTTCTGGGGGTGGGAATTGGCAGCAGGAGCCTAACCTGAGCTGTCTTGCCAGTCCCTCTGAAGACTTTTACAGGCCACTTCTGCCAGCTACCGAACTATCAAGTCTTTAGGGATTTTAGTTTTCAGTAAAATTATGAATTTCACAGCTGATTAAAGCTTTAATCTGGGATCACTCTGAGCATTTTAACTGATACTCAGTAAACAGTTCAGTATGAGTGGTAAGTACTGTCTAAATCAGCTTGTTAATTTAAAATACTCTGGGCTGGCTCTATGGCTCACCGAGTAAAGGTGCTTGCCACCAATCCTGAAGTCCTGAGTTTGATCCATGGGACCCAAAAAGTATTCTTCAACCTCTAAACATGCATACACCCCTCCATACACATAAATCTATTTTTAAAAAGAATATTACTCTTCCTTGTGTATACAGATTCAACCAGTATTCTTGAACGCATTAGCACTTCGCTGTGCATACCTGAGTCTTCCAGATACCCGAGGGGAAGATCAAATGTAACAAAAAAGCTGTGGCTGAGCCTAAATGACCCTAAAGAATAGCCCTTCTTAAAGTCCACTAAAAAGCATTCACTAAAGAAATGTCTATCTCTTCTTTCATTTTCTGCTTTAAGAAATGCTGGAACAGCACAGGGAGGCCGAGGTAAACAGCTTTCTGATTGAGACAAGCCTGGTCTGTGGAATAAGTTCTAGGCCACAGCTACACAGTGGAACCCTGTGTCAAGAAAAGCAAAGCAAGGCAGAATCTTTGTACCCTGTATTTATCTAGAGAACAGAATTCAGGCAGATCTCCACACCAAAGCAGCAAAGGAAACAATCCCAGCGAGCTCAGCCAGGAGCCACAGGAGGCCCTGGAGTAAACATTCAGGGTCTGTTTAGGGAAGGTACAAAGACACCTTAGTTATCTCAGAGGGTTGACTGTTGGGGGTCAGCCAGGCTGCCAGTAACACGCTCTTTTTCCGTGAAGGTCTGTCCGCTGCCACCCAGAGAAGCAGTGACGTGGACGGCGTCCAGGACAGGCCTGTCTTCCCAATTATACTTGGAGCTGGACATTTGACACCAAGCTGGAGAAGGCCCTCCCTCCGAGAACTCGAAGCACACCTCAGGCTGTCATTCACTCAACTGTGCCTTTTGTAAAGTGGCACCAGGCACCTGGGGTGGAGGGTCTCACTGCCTCCCCAGGGGTGTTCTCTGGAGACAAAGATCCTCAGGTTCAAGGACAGACCTTTGAAATACATCAAGAAGTGTTCTGAGTTGGGCTGGGTTGTTGTTGTTTTTTTTTAAAGGCAAAATAGTAACATTAATAAAGGAAATAGTGTGTTTTTTCTGGCCTGTTCTTTTAAGAAAGTTGGGCAATGGACAGTGAGTGGAGACGGGGCACAGGGACATTGTAGGCTAAGAACCAAGCCGTGACATTAGGAAGGGAAAGCCAGGTCTTTGCAATGAGGATCTAACTCTCTAAGACTCACTTCTCACCATGGTCCTGACCTTCCATTTTTTTCTGAGGACTGGGAAATGGCAATGGCTCACTGTATAAAGCTCTTGTTGTAGGCGTGAGAACCAAGGTTCAAATCCCCAGAACCTATGCAAAGAGGGCAGTAGCATGGGTCCTTAAGCTTAGCACATAATAAAAAATGAACGAGCATCCCTGCAGATGTGCTAGCCAGCCTGGTACACCCAATGGCACCAGGAGACTGATTCACACAAGGTGGAGGGTGAAGACAGCCACCATGGGTCCTCTCATCCCCATGTGCATTTCTTCCTGAAGGAGATCTAGTTTGCCAGTAGAGTAGCATCTACAAGGCCCTCACTCCATCCCCAGCACTACTGTAAAACCAAGAAAACACTTTTCCCTGGAATTATTCTAAATGGTAGCTTCTTTGGAGATAATATGGTGGGGGTCATAAGGCTTGGAATTTTGAATCTCCACACCTCGATGGCCAAGCAATAAACAATTTCCTCCTCACTAGAGAGGGTCCAAAGTACCAGGTTAATGTTCAGACACTGTGAGATTCCAAAGGGCAGCACTGGAAATCATGATAGGATGGCACCAAGTATCATTTCCCAAAAAGTTCATGCCTGGGTGCCAGCCACACTCCACCTGGCTTTCCAAGAAGGTTGTGCTCACTATTGTCAGGCTGTGTCTCCTCTCCTCCGGCTTCACCTGTGATCAATCCCTGGAATTTGACCCCAAGGCACTAGATCACACCCCTAAGGCCCAGGATGTGACCAACAGTCAATCAAGAGCCCTGCAAAAATAAGCTATAATCCCCCTAAAGCAAGGGAAGCTAGGGCTAGCAATCCAACTGAGCATTAAGAGGTTTCTGCGGGGGCTGGAGGTGGTGGGGAACAGTCTAACATGAAAGTCTGCAGACTGAACCCACTGGAGGGAAAGAGAGTAAAGACTTGCCACAGAGTGAGACAAGGTAACCTGCCCAGCACCCTGCTCTCTCAAGACTTCTCTCCCTACAGGTGTACAGATGCAAGAAGGTCCCAAAAAAAGCTTTGGTCTCCCTTTGTAATGAACGCCCCCCACAGCAACATGCAGAAGCTGTCCCCAGATATTAAAGTGAAACACTTTCTGAACAGCTGCTTCCTATCAGGCTGCAGTGTGATAAAAACACATGTCTAAAGTACCAAGAGTGCATCACCAGCACTCGCTTCCCTGGTACTTCCACAAGGCTTTTGTAAAACTTAGTTGTTTTTTTTACACTGGAAAAAAACACCCATTCCTGAGCAACCAGCATTCACGCTGGAGTGAAATCTGCATATGCCTGGCTGTGCGGTTTCTCAGAATGACCACGGCAGGGCAGGAGGGTCCTAGCCCCCCAATAGTTCTAATAACAGAACACTGGCTTTCCTCTCCCTCCGCAGACATGCCATTTGGCCTTAGTTTCAGAAGCGGGCCCAATAATTACCGCAGTGCTCCCGAGATCCAGTTAGTTGCACTTTACCGTCTTCGGGTAGAAACACGAACCTAGAACCCCACTTGCCACTGAGTCTTTAGAGTAATTTCACCGGCCTCCTGACTAAACCAGACATGGCCAATCATGTCAACCATGCAGTAGACAGCCAATGGTCCCCTCAAACACTCTAGCCCCGCCTCCTAACCAGGGGGACACAATCCTGGTCACACTTACCTCTGACCTTGTTGCTCTCCCCAGTGAACCCGGCTCTTCAAAATTAAGTCAGAGGTTCAGCCTGCCCCCCCAAACCCAGAAAATAGATGTGCATGCGCAAAAACTTCGGTGACTCCAACAGAAAGGTTTATTGTTCCACTCCTGTCCCAATAAGCTCCTTGTGACCGTGGAGAACTACACGAGTAACTACAAAACAAGCACAATCCTTCCCTAGGATACTTTGATGAGTCAGACTAGCACCAAGTGCGCAAACACAAGACACCAAAGAATCTCAACAGTTTACCAAGTCTCCCACAATTTCTCCTTAAAAACAAGAGAGTTAGAATCAGTGCTGCCACCTAGTGGCCAGCCAAACAAATCCAGTCGTGGACAAGCAAATAGGTCAGGTGGGCTCAGCTGGTTTCCTGGCCTGCTGGCAGGCCTCAGCCTCCTCCAGTTTGGGCACAGTGCCCTCCAGTCTTCTTAGAATACAGAATCTCACATCTGGCCTGTGACACAGATTCCCTTACACACTGTCCTCTGCCCATTTTGAGGTCCTACAGCCAAGTAGAGATGTCACAAAGACCATGAGCTCATCCCAAATCTCCATCTGCTCAGAGTGTATACACAGTAATTTTGATGTCTGTGGCCTCAAACACCTCTTCGATTATCGCAGATACATTTTCCCACTGCAGACGATCCAAACCACATCCGATCCTGAAAACAAAACAAAAAAGATGTTATCTTTTCCTGGCCTTTTGGTTAGGACCAAGTCTGAAAATCAACCAACCAAACAAACCCCTCCACTGGTTGTGATAGACATATTCAGGAGACTGCCCCTCCTTCCCTCTTTCTTTGGGCTCTATCCGAAGCACAGTTCTCTGGGCTCAGATGTACAGGCCGCCGCCGTGAAGAATCTATAGTCAGTTCCTATTGTGAAGCCACTCGCCAGTTCTGAGGCAGCCGTCATGTCTCTTTGCTTTCCAATTATTTCATTCTTTGGCACAAGGTCACTAGCTCAGTTACCTACTGCTGATGAAGACTAACTTCAGTGGATGGAAAATGTACGTACATTTAAAACACACTCACACCAGTGGAATGTTAAGGAGGCTGCAAAGGAGAGGAGGACCTTTGCAGAAGGAAGGAAACAACCGATGCCCAGAATGCTGGCTGTGGCCCAAGTGAAGTCTGTGACACTGTACTGATCCTCACCTGCCCTAGGGACAAAGGGAAGCTCAAAACTGCCAATTTCATACGATAGCAAGACACTCAACTTCTGCAAGAATAGTGATTAAAAGAAAAAAGAGTTTCTGATACATAAGCCTTGAGTATACTAAAGAAGGGATGATGGGCTGGAGGATGATGACTCGGTGGCTAAGAGCACTGACTGCTCTTCCAGACGACCCAGCTTCAATTCCCAGCACCCACATGGCCGCTCACAACTCTAACTACAGTTCCAGGCGACCTGCCATCCTCACACAGACACACATGTGAGTAAAACACTAATGTACACTTAAAAAGAATTGATGTTGTAGTCACACCCAAAGTCGCTTGAGCTTGGTCAGCACTGACTGAAAACCACTAGGGTAATAGAGAGAAGGGTACGGATCAGTTCCCGAGGAAGCAAAGGGCCACTGGACATGCAGTGTTATTTGAGTCCTCCAAAGGACAGCCGGGGCAGGTCCTGCCTGTCACCCAATGAACAACAAGCAGGCAGGCAAGCATGAAAGGCAATAGAGCACTGAGAGCTTTCCGGGCACAAAGTCAACTGGGGGGAGGTGCGATGGCTCAGTCTCCGTTCTGGGATTTCACGGCCTCAAGAAGAGAGGACACCGCTTTAACACAACTCAGGAATTCAACAGCTGTGTCTGAACGCCAAGGACGCTCCCCACAGAGGAGCTGAGGCAGGTGAATGCCTCTCATTACTCACTCTGAATCGTTCAACTCCAGCTAGAAAACAGCTGTGCTACAGCCAATAGGGAGTTCTGAGACCAAACCTCACCAACCAATTCAGTCTTCCATTTCCTTGCCTGGGCATGGAGAGGTCAGTGACTCCATTCTTCAGGCAATGGGACCTCATGGCCTCTAAACTCTTCTGCAGGTTCTCGTAAGTTGGCTTGTGTGAGGCCCGTTTCTTTGTAATCTGGACACAAAAGGAAGGATTCAAACTCTCATTAGCTCCACCCCCCAAAAAAGTGTCGATGAGGAAGCCACCAGATTCCTCTACACCCTCAACCTGAAAGAATAAGCGCTTTTTAAAAACAGATTAATCCCTGGATTCGTCCAGAGCAGGGATGACAATGTCCTGCAGCCACAGGAGAGCCCACCAATGGCTGAGAAACACTCTGCTGTGTGACAAGGAAAACCATGACACAGGAAAGCTGTGCCTGTTACCATGCTTAAGTGAGGCACTGGAACCTGTGCCAGAGAAGTGACACACTTGTGCCAAGGTATCCATACTGCCTGAGCAGCGCCCTTCCAAGTCCGTTCATTATGCAATCACACTCCCTGCTTTTTGTTTCTCTACAAAAGCAGCAGTGAGAGGTAATTCTTCCAATGGAAAATCATTCTTGGCTTTCAGGACAGCATCTCGGGTCAGTGTGTCTCCCGACTCTGCATGCTGACCAGAAAAGGTTTGAAGTGCATTGGCTCTAAATCGCCCCCGCAGGCTGTAAGGAAGCCACACCTCTTCTGGGGCCAAAGATGGTGTGGAAGGTAAAAATCCCACATCCCCACAGCAGGCAGGAGAGGGCAGGACATTCTGTGGTTCTGCAGTGGACAGGGAAGATGAGTTCCGCAGGGAACTCTCTCGAAACAAGGTGTCTGAGAAAGGGCAGTGGGTCTCCCAATGTCTGCCACTCTTAGACCACAGGCCTATGGTAGACAGCACAGGAGCCTCACGCCAGAGCTGCGGCATAACCTGATATACCTAATTCAGTGCTCCAAGCAGCCAGCTCCTCTGGAGCTGAGCTGGTGTCAAAGTGGAAGCTGTTTGGCATCCTTTACTGTCTCTGATGGAGCATCGTGATCAATGCAGGGAAGTCTATTTGCCAATCTATACAAGGTCAAGATTTGGCCCCATCTTACCAAGTAATATATATATCGTCCATCTCTCTTCAGAACAGCCACTTCTCCAGACTTCTTTTCTAAGAAAAAGTTATTTAATAGTAAAAAGGAAAAAGAAAACCGAAACATCCATCTCCACACTGACGCTAAAAAATAATTCCCATAGACCTGAGTATAACTATCCAAATTTCAAATGCACTGTCACCTGTCCATTTAAAAAACGTTAATGCTGTCTTGAAAGTGTCTTAGAACGTGTCACCATTCGAAATCGGTCAAACATGTTTATTCAACAAGATTTGTGTGTGTGTGTGCGCACGCGCTCACCCTAGTACAGGTGCCTGTGGAGGCCAGAGATTCCCTGGGACCAGAGTTACAGGCAATTATGAGATAC